AACCATACAACTTATAGCTTGTTTGCTTCCTCCTGGCCTCACATTTTTCTTGGCTGCCTAGAGGCAGCTTTTGCATCCACACTACACATGAAGTAGGATAGCAAAGCTTCCATTAGTACCAAAAATGGCAGATATGTGGCTGGGTAACTGCCCCTCAGGCATGTTAAGTGGAGTAGGATTCTGCCTATAATATCCTGAACTGTTTGAACTATATGATAGATATAGAGGGTGTCCAGAGGGGATTTTTTTTCATGCTTGGACTGTTGTTTCTTGCGCGTGTGTCATCAATGGTGCTTTGCTGGTGATTGGGAAAAGGGACAACTCTTTCCTGCTCACCATGCAAGGTTTATAATGTACAGTCTGGAGCTTGATCCCAAGTAAGAACTTAGTGGCACCAAGTTGTCTCCCACTTTCAGGATGGAGGAAATGTAATAACTTGTTGCCTAGCTCTCCTCCCCATCCTGTTTCTGGAAGGGGAGTCCCAGTGGATTGTGGGGACTTTCTTGGTCACTCCAAATCATGCATTTCTAAGAAGTTTGTAGGTTCTCTTGCTTGTGTGGGAAGCAAGGGGGAGGAGGAGTTGTTGCTCTAAAATTTATCTATGAAATCAGACGGCGCTTGCAGCCTCTCATTTCCAGTCTAAGTTGTCTGGTAACTAGTACATCTCATACAGAGGTTTTCACCTTTCTCAGGTTTTTAGACTGAGAGGTAAGCTTTCTTTTGCCTTGTAGTATTGTTTTATTGGAAGATGCAACTTCGAGTAAAAAAATAGTTCCTGAATTGGCACTTACTCATGAAATCAGGTTACTCCTGAACTGGCACTTACTCATGAAATCAGGTTACCAGATTCCCATTCTGGTCAAATAAGTTGCCACTAAAACTTAGCATCAAATAATGTTCCCCGACCTCTGCTCCACGAGGCAAGCCCTGCAAATAGAGTGATAAATAATACATAGTTCCTGGTCTTACCTCCTGTACATGTGATGTGTCTTTAACCTGCTTGATGAAGTAATCACTTTTACATGATTTTCTTTTTTGTAGCTGTGGTCCACCTTCCATGAGAAGTCTCTAGTGAAGGGAGCCTGCCAGAAGACTCTTGATGCACTGAAACTGAATTACCTTGATCTATACCTCATTCATTGGCCCTTGGGATTTAAGGTACTAGCACATTAACTTGTTTCTTCCTGACAGTTGCAGAAGGATGTCATGTTATAAATCCACCCATTGTTGTGGACTTATCCCCGCAATGGGACATAGCAGTACCACTCCTTATGCTTCTTTTTTAACTTTACCATATACGTGTCTGAGCAAATTTATCCCATCTCCCCTCCCTCCTTACCTCACAACTGAAGACAAGCATAGTAATTGCACAGAATTCTCTGCCCCTGTTGATCCAGGGAGAGAGCAGCCTAGAAAAGGCACGTCTCTCTCTTGCAAAAACAGGTTATGTTTGGTTATCAGTTCCTTCACTTCTACCAATTCCGGCTACATGTATTTGGCCATGGCTTGTCTTTCTACTTATGGGAAGCAAAGGTGTGTTTTTGACTTCTTGATCTTGACTTCTTGATCATAAGTGTTTTTCTTTCGTATTTTTCATTATACTCCTTTTTCACTGAGTGTCTAAATGCAGCATAGATTTATAGTTAACAGTTATAGGAGCCTTGTGATTGAATTCCAAGGATCATGGGACAAAAGCAAGAACTTCAGTTATAAAACCCATATGATGACTGTGGACATGCTTGAAACAGTTGATGTCTTACTTTTCATATTTTATCTTGGCCCTTCCTTACTGTAAGAGATTGCTAGGAATACCTTTTACACATTGTGTTCAACTCCCAAATGCTAGATGCTCTCACGTGTGTGTGTGTCATTTTGAGTGTGGACAAAGCAGTTGAAATAAAGGGCAGTTGTGTAGGCCATCTGTAGAGGAGCTTAGGCAATAATAATAGCAAGTATATAGACAGTAACTTGCACACACAGGCTCTTGTAGTGTCTTTCCCAAAACCTGCAAATTAAAGAGTCTCCTGTAGAAGACATGACATTGTACACATTCGCTTATGCAGCAGACATAGTCCAATATAAGCTAGAACTGAACAAACAAGGACCTGATAAAGGAAAATACATTCAGAAAGGTACGTTATGGAACACTACTTAAAAATTGAATGTGCTTGGCTATTTTCATAGGCAACAGTCTTATATGTTGATTGTGCTTTGGAATCATTGAAGTACTTTGCTATGGGTAGCAGGAAGGAGGAAAGAGAATTATCTTTCTAAAACTGGTGAAGTAATTACCTAAATGGGAGTTAGAATTCTTCCTTTTCACTAACAGCTCATGCTTTTATAGTTGACTCTCCAATAGGTTTAGTATTTAAGCAAAAAATTCAACAGAGAATGTTTCAAACTTTCTGCTTTGCATTGACAGGCAGGAGAGGAGCTGTTTCCTGCAGATGATAAAGGCATGATTATATCGAGTAATACAGATATTCTGGACACATGGGAGGTAGGCTCAATCACAATTTAAGATTCTTCCCTTCCACTCCTCCCCGCCCGGGCTAGACAGTTCTTTTGCATATATGAAATCTGTTAAGACTTTTATAAAATTATTGTACTTGATTCATGCAGCGCTATTTGCAGCGAATGTGAATTCTTTATTTGTAGATGATTTACAGTAATTTTGTATAAAATGTTTACTGTTTTACTTACAACGTCAGCTGCTGTTCTCGCATCCTGATTGGCTAACTTGGGTGACTACAAGTAATTGGAATGTAAATTCTTAGTTCATATGAAATCATGTTTGAAAGTTAAGCTAAAAAACAGCTTTATTTAAATATTAGCAAACATACTATGTAGGCAGACAGCAAATGAACAAATATTGTAATGAATATATATTGAAAACTTGAGTTTAGCCCATCTTTACAGGCTACTTGCACTTTTACTTACTACTTAACCTTGGAAGCAACCCTATGTCGGCAGAGTAATTGGGTAGCTGGTATAATGGTTCTCTTCTCTGATTTTTGTGGTTCATTAAAAAGGTATACGCACAAAAAATCAGCCTTTCTTTGCCTTTTGCAGCAAAAGACTACCTTTCTTCTGAGGAAAGGATATGATGGGCTGTTTTGTCTCCCTCCCCTCTCCCTAATAGGCTCAATTGGATCTCTTGAGCGTATTATAATAACACTTGCAGCAGCAGGACACTGACTGCTGTTGTCCCCCTGATTTACCTGTGGCAGGTTAGGGTGCTATGCCTTGTAGTTGTATGGTAGGGTTGACTGAGTAGTTTTAATAGGTTAGACAAGGGTTTTTATGGGTAGTTTGGGTGGAGATCATCCTGCCTCCAGCAGGTGGTTGAACCAGTGATCTCCAGAGGTCCCTTCCAGCCCGATATTTAGTTATAGAATCATAGAAATGTTTTAGCGTTTCTTTCCATGAAAGAAAGAAGTCATGTTCGCAGCATAAATACCCCATTCAGGTGCTGTGGTCTGTATCTAGTCAAACACTCAGATTTTCCTGTCCTCTTAGGCTATGGAGGAGCTGGTGGATGCAGGTCTGGTAAAAGCCATTGGAATCTCCAATTTTAACCATGATCAGATTGAGAGAATTTTGAATAAGCCTGGACTAAAATATAAGCCTGCAAATAATCAGGTAAGCTGTTTAATACCATCTGTTGATATGGCTGTGTTAGAACCTTTGTGCAGTGGGGATATAGAGGAAGGGGCTTGGGGGACACAGGGAAATAGGTACATGATGCACTTCCAATCCTAAAATTCTTCAGGAGTATTTAAGGTACTGGAGTGGTGCTCACAGGATTCACACTACTGTCTCTAAGAAATGTAACAGGGAATCTTTGGCATGGGGTGAAGAATCCAGGATTTTGTTTATGATCCTTTTTACAACCAGAGCAAAGATCAAGAGAGGACCCTATGACCATCTGGCATCTACTGAAAGTCTCTTGGATAACAGATATACAAGTGCATTCTGTGTCACCAAATTCAAGAAGTATGAACTGAATATGTGATCTCATCTGATCAATTTAATAATTCAGGAGAAAAGAAGTGCATGGAGTTGGTGGGTTGGCCACAGGGCAGAAGCATACAGATTAAGAGGCAATTTCTGGACAGGTCCAGATTGCTATCAGTGATGCAAGATTCTCTTGCAGAATCAGATGTTCATGAATTGCTCTTATCGGTCTGCTTCAGACTTGCCCAAGAACATCTTCTTTTGAAAAATGCTGCATATGTGTGTGGTGTCTGTAGTTTCAAAGTTCATTTGTTCTTGAATTATGCCACTCCCAGAAATAAAAATAAGTTAATATTAAACTTATAAAAGGGGGAGGGAATGATGGAGGGCTGGTATGCAGACTACAGTTCTTTCTAGTAAGAGGTTGATGGGTGTCTCATCTTAAAGTAATAACATTTCAAAATGGCGGGGGGGGCGGGAGGGGCAAGAAATAAAGAAGAAAAGATCATATCCAAATGCTAAAGAAAGCTAGGAGCATAATCCTGCAAGGTGCTGAAAACCTTAAAAATTCACAAAGACTCCACTGGACCCTGTCAGTGTCAAGGCCCAAATGAAATTAAAAGTTTGTACAGGTAGGATCTTGTTATAAGCAGCAACTACAGTGTTATGCGCTGGAAGTTAAGTAATAGCTGTGGTGGTGGAAGATAACTTTGTGGTTCCTGACTAATTGTTTTTTAAAAGTCTCCAAAGTAAAATAAGCATGCTGGGGTTATAATCCCCCTGGTAACACATCTTAAAAGGATAGAAGTACAATGATGTTCCCCTTATCAGAGGAACAAAAGGATTTAATTTTAACCATACCAAAATGCAAGTGAGAATAAAACCTGATCCCCATTGTTGTATTTTACTAATAAAAGCAATATGATAATATTTTAATAGGATAGAGTACAAGAATTTCTCCTTTTTGTTGGGCTACAGTATTTAGTGAACCAAGACATGCTGTGCAGCCTTTCAAATGGAGGAAGTGATCAGGTTTTTTTGTTTTGCTCTTTAATGTGCTGACACTAGAATACTGTCCAAAATAGTGCACCAGCAGGATATTTCAAAGGAAAAGAATGAAGTCCACCCATCAGCCACCACTGCCTGCAGAACCCTGAATTTTCTGGGATCTACCCTGTCCCACCCCTGATAATGTGCAATTCTTTTTTGATTTGTGAGAGTTGATTTAATTATGATCCAAGGTGATAAGGGTGTTACTGCTTGAATTTTATGCTTTGGTCTCATGGCTGTGAAATCCATCCTGCCAAAATTGCTGGTACATTTTGTGAGCTCCTCTTGCTCCTTTTTAAACAGAAAACCCTTCAACACAGGCTGCTTGGAATTTTCTTGTCTCTTTCCTTGGTAGTTTTACCATATTGTATTACTTCAGCTACATTTATTGTTGCTCCAAACAATTGGGAATGTCAGTAGCTTGAGTAGTCCAGCAATAGAAATGTGTTTAGTTCTTTCCCTGTAAATAACTTCAGTTTCAAGCATTATGTTGGTGGTATGTGAGAGTGAAAAAGTTGGGCATCAAGGAATATCTGTTCCATGAGATTCTGTTTGTAAATTACAGAGTTCTTATCTCACTAACAGAATGAGAAGGGGTAAATATTTTTTTCAGAGGAATATTTAAATTCTATAGTTTCTTTGGGAATAAATCAGATTCACATTTCTATAGCATAGAATATAAGATGGTAGAAAGAAAGGCAAAAGAACACTCAAACTAATTAAAGCTACAGGGAAATCTTAGGTAGTTAGAATTTAATGTAACTTTTATTCCTCATGCAGCTACCAGGAGTGGGGAAAGATTGAGGGTGGTCTCCATTTCATAGCTGTTATTGAGATAAAGGTGACCTGCTAAACATCCGCAGTGAGTTGCTTCACAGGACAAGCTGGAAATTTGTTCAACATAAGTCATAAATAGATCTGAAATGTGCCTGTCTCTCAGGATTAAATCTAGTGCACATGTAGCCTAATGAACTACACAGTCTGTGCAGGAGAAAGTCATCTTTGAGTTAATCGCATATAGTTTACAAGGAGTGTTTACAGATGTGCTGCAGATGATGAAATTTGTGTGCATCTCTAAAAATCCTGGTTAGTCCAGTATTAAGGAAGGCTTTTTCTCTAATCTAGATACTGACTCATGGTAATATAAAGCACCAATTAATGACTTCTTAGTACTTTTATATGATAATATAAGACCTTCACCTTGAAGAGACTGTAACAGACTGAACTTAGGAGCCTCTGACTGTAGCCTGGTGAAGAAACAAGAATGTTTCTTGTTCATATTTCATGCTATATATAGTCTGAATTCTGCCTCCTGGGCACCCATGTAAAGGGGCCACCCGCTCAAACACTCCATTTTACACTGTACAAGCAGCTGGATTTATGAGGGCTGCCAAAAGTGAATAGTTATGTATAGTCAACTCAGTTGAACCCAGTCATAAACTGTATGGTGACTGATATTCCTAGCTAGTTGAGAAATTCTGGGACAATGCCATACAATTTTCTCAGAAAGCAACTGGTACCATAAATAAATAAATAAATACAGGGCTGTAACCCAATCTGTATAGTTCAGTGACTTGTTCCATCTGCCAGTGATACAGTATTCCAAGGTCCTCTGTCTGATAGCAGCTGCAATATAGGAGGTTTCAATGACAGTGCAGTCTCAGTTACTTGAACTTCATTGCTGAAATGAGGCCATGCTTACCCAAAGTGTGTTTGCCTGGAAATGTCTCCAGTTATCCACCACCTTGCAGTTCAAATCCATTTAATGCCACCCTGACATGTGGATAATCATGGCTGAATTGAACCCTGCTACTGCAGTAAATTGCCAGGACATTAATCAGATGCTAACTGGTCTCTACCCTTTCATCCATTCTATCCAAGTTGCAGATGATGGCATTAAAACTGATGGGAAGCCTATGCTTGCATTTCTCTAATAATGCTATAATGAACAGTAATCTGAAGATACACAAATATGCAAAATGGTGCTTAGTATTTACTTTTCTGGTTAAGGATTTTGAAGTAGGGTTTCTTTTGACAAGACCGTTGCACACAAAAGCCTCTGGAGAATTATACACATGCAGGACTTACCTTAAGTCATAACAAAGAATTTGCTTTTTTTTTCTTCAGTTAGAATAGAAAAAGACCCCCTGAAGCACAGTAGCATTAGTCCAGTTTTCCACTGTGAACCCTTACATCCTTGTCTTTCAGGTTGAGTGTCACCCATACCTCACCCAAGAAAAACTGATCAAGTATTGCCAATCCAAAGGGATTGCTGTGACTGCATACAGTCCCCTTGGTTCTCCTGACAGGCCATGGTAAGAGTGCTTTCCAACCTCGCCTTTAATGTATGTGAGCATAATGCTTTATGCAAAATAAATGAGCAGCTCTCTTGTTCTAGGTAAGCATTTCTGTTGCTACTGTAGCAGGACCCACCCCAACAGCAGCAGTGACATCCCCTGGTGGCCAAGCTACTACTGCCCTACTCTGGTTCCTCAGAGTAACCTCCCTTTTCTACCTCACCTGCCACTTCTAGATGGATATTATAATACTTAGACTGCCCCAGGGACCCAGATCAAGCCTCATTTCACCTCAGCTGGCTAATAACTCTTATGCCTGGCTGCTACCCATCTTGCCCCTCAGTTCCTAGATTGGTCATCCTGGCCCTATCAGTTTCTTAGGGCATAAATCACCTTGGGAGCAATAATTGTGGCCCTCTCCACCTCCATAATGATGCCCAGGTCTCACAGGTGTTAGTCCAGATTTGTTTCTCTGGCCCTGTCTGTCTGAGCCTTTAGAGGGCCAGGAGCCTGGTGGGCTGACAGCCTTTTTCCTTGGGCCTCCAACCCTGTCTGAATTAATTTCTCTGGGCCCTCTGGCCCTATCTGTCAGCCTACCAGGCTCTTGGCCCTCAGCCTTAGCCTGTCCCTGGACCCTTGGTCCCGTTCTGGCCTCATCCTCTCTCAGACTTCAGCACCTCAACCCAGGTTGTAGCCCTGACAGCCTTTGCCCATCTCTGGGCCACTGCCCTAGGCTTAACTACAGCCCCTCCCATGCTCCAGCTCCACTACAGAAGTCTTAACCCTCTTGGCTTTGGCCTGTCTCCAGCCCTCAGGGTGCCTGACCCCCAGGCTAGGCTTCTGTCTCAGATGCCCTCACCAGGTATCCCTCCAAGGGCTCAGTTCTCCCATACAGCCACAACCCATTCCTCCAGTTAAACACAACACAAATGTAAGCAAACCACTTCCCCAACTAAAATTCTCAGTGTCGATGTCACACTGCAAGCCATACTCCCCCTTAGCTCCCTTGTGGGGCTTGGATGTCTGTGAGCCTACTTACTGCAGCTCCCAAGAGCTCCTCTCCCTGCAACATGCAGGGCCAGACTGCCCACCTTGCTTCAGGCATTAAGTTTATATGCCCCAAAGCACCACCCCTTCTGGTTGCATGGCTTTCCAGCCATACACAAAGGGTTTTTGCTTGCCCTCCTCTGCTGCTGTTTAATCCAGCTGCTTGTAGCCTTTACTTCTGTGCTGTCTGGAGGCCTGGCCTTTGGCTGATTACGGCACTGCAGCAAGATCTAAGAGAGTTACTCCCCAGGGGTAGCACCTGTCCTTGCTATCCCTGGCCTGCTTGCTTTCTAGCAGCTGGCCTTTGCCCAGATGCCCACCCTACACAGCAAGCTTGGACCTACTGCATTCTCCCCTTAAACTAATAGGAGTCTCTGGCTTCCTATTACAGTACATAGAATCATCCTATAGATGATTGAGACTTTCCACAGTTTGACTACCTTGCTTTCTATTTTTATAGGGCTAAACCAGAGGATCCTTCCCTCCTGGATGACCCCAAGATTAAGGAGATTGCAGCCAAACACAACAAAACACCAGCACAGGTACATATGGCTGATAAAGTGAGTTTTTGGCATGACCCTTCCTGCTGTCTTTACTGGGTCCTCTTGGTTCATCATTCCAGCCTCACATAGACATTTTGTCTTTTGGAGTCTGATTCTTTAAATCTGACTGAAAGGGAAAGAAGTCACCAGACTATCTGGAAAACAGGAAGGGGAGGTATCTGCCTTTGTCCTCTGTCCCACTCAGTGCTCTTGAGCAAGCACTAATTGGTCTTCAGTAATGAAGTGATGATATTAGGCAGTCTATGAACTCTATTCCTGCT